TTATGATCAATAACAGGCCATTAATGATTTTTTTAAAAAAAAATAGGCTTCTGTCGAACCTTTTATCGAACCCAAATTAGGTCATTTAGAGTCACTACAATGACCTTCACTATAGGGTCCACATTAGGTTTCATCCTAAAGCATTTAAAAATGGATCATGTAATAGGTTCAAAAAACTAAAATCAATGCTTAATTGCAATACCCAATCTTGAGTTAAAGTAATAAAATATCCAATGTCTATGTATGTTTGATGGGGTGGGCATTTTACCTGTCTAAATTTGACAATCAGCTGAAGAATCTCAATGTGTACTATGGCCATTGGGGCAGAGCAAATATATTGGTTATAAGCATAGCTCGATGGTAAACTTGTCCATTGGTCAGGCAAGACCAAGTCAAATCCTTTTAAAGATGGTATCCAAGTGTTTTGCTCAATTTGTAGGGCCTAAGAAATTCAAAATTTTCTTAAAAATAACATATTAAAAATTATTAAAATATTAATATTTTAATACTTTAAATTAAAATTAAAAATATTTTTATTAATAATTTAATATTCATATAGGACTCAAAAATTTTGATCCAAAACTTAACTCGAACTCAAATGAATTAAACCCGTAATACAAACAAGTAATCCAACCTGTGTACAAATATATTTGATGGTAGTCTTAATTTCATTTGTGTTATTATTCTATAATAAAGAAGGAAAACATATCCTCACACGTTGACATTCAAGTGTTAATATAGAATAAGCCATAGTTTTTAGAATTCATTAGTTTCAGCTTTCATTTATTACCAGGTTTTTTTTTTATTATTAGGGGATAGAAGATTCGATTCCAACTCTTAAGATAAATATATATACCGTTTACTCAAGTAGTTTTATTATTTGTTAGTGCTATAATTATTTAATAAAAATAATAACCCTTTTAGTACTAATTGAAAAATATTAGATCAAGTGGACTACTTCGATGTCATCTTTTGGCCATAGTTTTCTATTCGCTTGTCCATATTTCATAGATATTACTTCAAGAAAGCATGAAAAATTGTATAACTCTTTTGGCCATAGTTTCGATTCAAGTTCAGCCATTTAACAAATAAATATTAAACAAAATTGGGGAACGAAAAACTTAGAAGTAAGTTCCAAATTAGAAGACTTAGAAGCAAGTCCCTCTCTGCCATTTAATTACATTCATAATTTTATAGTAGATAGTTTTCTTTTAAGTCTGGAATCAATAAAGAAGTTAAGTGGACTGCCGTTTTCATACAGGTATTTTTTTTTTTCTATTTTAAAGTGAATAGAAAGTGATCCAAATGGCCTAGACGTGAGATCCATGATTCATTAAAATTGTACATATTATGCAACATCTAGGGGTAGGAATAATTAGAGGGTTTGATTTGTATGTCCTAACAACATGCGATGACTCTGGCAAAGGAAAAAAAAATGCAATGCATGACTTGAGGAAATGAGGTTGTTACTAGTACTTGTTAGTTGGGCTTGCTTTTATATACGGAGTCAGCTGTTGACTCCACCGTCCAAGGTGTAAATGACAGACAAACAGACATGTAAGGGTTACCAAGCAGTTAATGAAAGAAATCTTCGAAACATGACTGCTATCCGTACCGACACACTAGCCTAAAAACAAATATATCATCAAAAATTAAGGGATTAATACTAGTGAAGCTAGCTGTTGCAGACTTTTTCTTTTTCTTATGAATTCATTTTTTTGTTCTAAAATCCTATAATTAGTAGTATATATTACACTTGAATAGTAACAATATATTTGATAAGAGCAACCATTATTTACATTCTTCTATAAATTTAATATTTTTTATTGGAAAACTATAAAATTAAAAAGAAAACTTATAATTTTTTTGTTGGCATGTCAACCAATGACCCCTTCCGGGGAGTTTTTTTTTTAATTTTATAGTAATAAGAATTATATTTATATTTATATTGGATTTGGTTTATTATTTTATGTAATATTATTTGACATTTATTTTAGTGAAATTTGTTAGACTTTAGTTGTCATATGCCAAATGGGCCTTGATTTTGTAAGAGTAAATTTTCTATTAATATAGTAATTGGAGTAGGAATGTTGGATGGGCTTTGTTTTTTTGTTTTATTTTGGGATTTTTCGTTTTTATATTTGGTATTTTCTTAAAGTTTGATAACGATCGTTGAATTAAAATTTTGATTTAATTGGTTGATTTTTTTTTTTTTTTTGTCTTAGTTGTTATGGACACGCTGGGTCTTCATTTTTCTAGTCGCAATTTTTATATTGATATTATGGCAAATTAATGTTGGATGAGTATTAAGATTTATATTTCTTTTGAAAATTTCATATTTAGTATTTTTTTCAAATTTAATAATAATTGTTGAATTAAAAAATTATTATATTAATAAAAGGTTATTAAAAGATAAAATATTCAATAATAATACTTAGGTTTAGTTTAGCATTACTAATGAAAGTAGCTTTTGCATTCAAAAGCTGTTTTTATCCAATCTCATACTAAACGACAAAAAAAAAATACTTTTTCATTTAAAGACTTGATTTTGCAACTTAAAAAAAAACTAGTCAAAAAATATTTTTGGGGTGAAAAGTTGCTTTTGAAAAAGAAAATCAATATATTACCCTACATTTTAAATATATATGCATTTTTTATATATTTATATTACTATCAGCACTTTTTCACAACAGTATTAAACGCTTAAAAATTTTAATCATACTTTTTAAATGTTTTTTTTTCAACTCAAATTTTACCCAATTACAATTGAAATGCTAAATTAACCCTAATTGTGTTATGGTAATTAATTTATTGAAGTAAAAAATTCAATTCAGACTAAATAGGGGCCTAACACTAGTTTTAAATTAAGGTCTACTGATTTTTGCAATTTAATAAAATATGATTGAATCAATTATTTAAATCTAACAAAATTTCGGAAAATTAGCTTGAGGCTTTGGATGTGTTCCTGTCTAGATTCACTTCTAATTGAGTCGTGAATACGTCTTCGTGCAGAAGTTTTAGACCAAAACAATATGACAAACACCATCCCTCAAAAAAAAAAAAAAAAAGGACGGAAAAATGTCGAATAATTCTGCACTTTTTGTAACAAATCTTTGAAAGAAAAAAAATTTTTTTTTAGTAGGAAAATAATAAGAAAAGAGAAGGAAAATCAAGATATTTGTACATTTCTCTTTACTGGAAATCTAATCCTTTCAAATATACATTTAATTTAAGTTAATAATTTTGTTTATAATTTTAAATCTATGAAAGTACAGTTACAAATTTTATCATTTGCATTAGCAAAATATTTTAATTTTATTATGTTTATGTTAAACATATCAACAAATTTGAAAGTAACATAACAAAATTTAATAAAATTGAAATACAAAGATAAGATTAAATATTAAATCATAATATTGTGACAAATTTTACTTTAGTGCCTGTTAAATTATAATAAGCATTGATTTTGAAAACTTAACTAATTTGTGATGGAATTTTGGTATGAACCTCATTTGAGAGCACTATAATTTATTTTCTTTACATTTCAACATATCTACAATCAATAGAAGAAGAATTTGATTATGAAATTGAAATGTGTCATAATATGCTGGCTTTCTTTTCTTTTCATTTACAGTTATTAAAGATCAAAATTTCAGACTGAGTATAAAAAAATATGTAATTTAATCTCTGCCTTTCTTCTTCAAAGAAAAATTGCTTGTCTCTCCGGATTCTCATCAATCAAGCCAAGTGATTCCGCAGCAAAAGTTGACTTGATATAGAACCAAAAAAAAAAAAACCCTGCAAGTGGCATTCTCCATTTACATACAATGAATTCTCAATCATGTGGATCCCGCAGTATGCGGGATGAGATTATATGATTCCCAAAATTATGCACTTCTTTCTTCCCCCTTTATTAACCTTTTAATTATCAAAATGACCTCTGTCACACACGTATGTATTTCACCCCATTTTTTCCATTTTTTTTTCAACTGAAGCCAAAACTATATTTGAGGACATAATACCTTGATGCCACTGTTTGGGATTTTTGGATTTCTCCATTAACTTCTTTTATGCAGCCACCAAAAACAATATAAAACGAGAGATAAATATTTGTTTCTTACCATTTTTGGCCCCAAATTTACCCATAATACAATCCATGTAATTAACTTATAATAGACTTCGATTCAATTGATGGATACATTTTGTAAAATTTGATGCCAATTTAGAAAAGTAATACGTTTATAAGATTTCCCTAAAAAAAAAAAAAAAACACGTTTGTGAAGTTTTTGAGGTATGCTAATGGTCAAAGACTCAAAGTCCTCGTTTGAATAGATTTTTTTTTTTTTTACAAAGCCATCGAAACCAATTCAACGAGAGTGAAAAATATTCCTTTAATACGGTTTGTACAGCTAATTTACTCATGAAATTTAATCTCATGCACGTGCACTTGAAATGAGCTTTCAAATTTAATTATAAATAAATGTATCTGTAAAATTATTGATGGAACAAAATTACTGAAATGAATGTGTGAAAATATTAAGAGGGATTTGTGAATTATAGAAATGGTCAAAGGCTCAAAAGTCATATAGTTGTTGGTTAATTGCTGCGAGTCCTTTACCTTACATACTGTTATCAATTACCATATGGGATATTTGCTGTCTAGGGAAAGTAGGTAAAGCCAGCCAAACCAAAGGCAACTTAAACTCTATTTGGCTAATTTTTTCTGCCAATTATGCTGCTTCAAGAGCAGCCTCATCTGCCAACCACAACAACTTTCTGCCCTTTTTTTTTTTTTTTTTGGCATCCATGTTAACAGAAACAGTAGGAACTTTTCAATTAACATAATTTCCAAATGATGATAGAATATTAAACAAAGCCAATTATGCTTTTCTCGTTTAACTTTCAGATTATACTTACAAATTCTCCAAACACAAGTACGTGCATTAATGCTTTGTTTGACTATTTTGAAGGTAATAAATTTTCCTTTCCCTTATTGCCAATAATATAATGTTATTTCTATATTTTCTCTTTGTTTTTTGTTTTTTCTGTATGGCACTTTTACTACCCAATTGCATGAAATTGAGAAGCCCATGCAAATTCATGCAGAGAAAGAAAAATAGATCATTTGCGAAAAGAAAAGGTAAGTCTTTTCAACCCAATCACACTCAAAGCCAAAGAAGAAAGAAACAAAATAATTTTAAAAAAAAAACGTGAACCATTGGTTTTTTAAGAGTAATGGATTTATTTTTATTACGGGTCAACCCATGCATTAGCAAAAGGTTGAAAAACACATACAATACATAAACGATTCATTTTATAATAAAGCAGAAATAAATAAGTACTGGACACCACTGAATAATACAACTGTCAAATACATGAATAATACTTGTCTACATTATTCTTTATCCTCTCTTCAAACGATGAGACTAGGCTCCCTTTTCTGCTGAATCTCTCTCACTCTGTTTATTTTTTCAAACCATTTTTTGTCCTTTTATTCGGATCACACTCTTCTCTTCTCCTGCAAGAACACATCGAGCTTTTCATTAAACTCATTAAATTCAAAAAAGGAAATGTGACATAATGCAGCTTGAATGCAAAAAATCACTCTTCTCTTCTCCTGCAAGAACACATCGAGCTTTTCATTAAACTCATTAAATTCAAAAAAGGAAATGTGACATAATGCAGCTTGAATGCAAAAAATATTTATGGAAAATGGTGTTACATACTAAAAAAAACTAAAGAAGTAAATGCATATATATTACCTTGGTACGGTTAAAACCGTAGCTTAGTAGTGGTGAGGAGGAGGGGGTGATGAGTAGACATAATGGGGTGGTGGTGGTGGGGGAGACTTGTATTTGTATGGCTCCTCCTTAGGAGGAGGAGGAGACTTGTATTTGTATGGCTCCTCCTTAGGAGGAGGAGGGGACTTGTACTTGTATGGCTCCTCCTTAGGAGGAGGAGGGGACTTGTACTTGTATGGCTCCTCCTTAGGAGGAGGAGGGGACTTGTACTTGTATGGCTCCTCCTTAGGTGGAGGAGGAGACTTGTATTTGTATGGCTCCTCCTTAGGAGGAGGAGGAGACTTGTATTTGTAAACTGGAGGAGGGGGTGGGGGAGACTTGTATTTGTATGGCTCCTCCTTAGGAGGAGGAGGAGACTTGTATTTGTAAACTGGAGGAGGTGGTGGAGGAGACTTGTATTTGTATGGCTCCTCTTTTGGAGGAGGAGGGGACTTGTACTTGTATGGCTCCTCTTTAGGAGGAGGAGGAGACTTGTATTTGTATGGCTCCTCTTTAGGAGGAGGAGGGGACTTGTATTTGTATGGCTCCTCTTTAGGAGGAGGAGGTGGAGGGGACTTGTACTTGTATGGCTCCTCCTTAGGAGGAGGAGGGGACTTGTACTTGTATGGCTCCTCCTTAGGAGGAGGAGGAGATGAGTAAGGGTAATCGGCAGTGGTTTGAGAAGGCAAGCTGAGAGACACTGCAAGCGCTAGAAGAGTGAGAAAGAGAGAGGTCGACCCCATTTTTCCCATCTTTACTACAAAGTTGGTTTTGGTTATGCTCTTATGTAACCTCTTCACCCCCTTTATATAGATTTTGTTTTTACCTTCTAATCATCATAAAATCGACTTAAAATTTGTTTAACCTCTGTCAAACGCCACAATAAAAAAATTAATAAATAAAAAAATTGCAAATGGTTCAGGTTTGAACTGGTTTTCATGAATGTAAGAGGAAAAAGCTGGAGAGGTTCCAATCGTTGAATTTGGCAGCTTGGGATTGAGGTTGGTAGCTAAGCAAATAATAAATAATTAAAGAAACAGTACTGCCGTCAATACGAATATAATTTTTTGACTTAAATGAAATACCGTAATTCACGCAGAAAATTTTTTCGTATATAGATATATATATATATATATACACACACTTTCATAGATTAAATTGCTTTGAAAACATTGTGTGGTTCCCAAACTTCTCCATGAATTTTTTGGCTACAATTCTTTGCGGGGAATCTCCAGTTTCTAATTGTCGTTTCTAAAAATTTTGTTTCCTATGGGCGTATCATGGAAAATAATTTAAAGAGTCCGTTTGCTTTATTAATCCAATTAAAATATATATAAAATCTGAATCTTAGTTTAGTTGGTTTATGTTATCATCTTAAAGAGATGATAATTAACAAATTTATATTCAAATTCCATCACCAATAATCTTTTTTTCTGTCCTCAAATTAAGGTTTCTTTTGCATAAAATGCACTCATAAATATGCATATATATAATAAGAAATCAACTTATACAATGTAAATTAAATTAGTTTTACATTTTTTAATCAATGATTTTAATATATTTTAAAGTTAAGATTAAATTGTTTTTTTTTTTTTACTTATCTCTCTCAAGTATAATACTTGAATCTATTGAAATCAAAAGTTAAAAAAATTATAAAACTTTTTTAGTTTTACATTGTGTAAGTTAATCCCTCAAGGCTATGTTTGGCACGTAGGATTAGTTGAAAAATAAGATACTAATCATTTTATCATATATTTGTTATACATTTCAATAAAAAGGATTGGATTATTGAAAGGATTAGATATCTTATGCTAATAGGATAATTTTATCATTTGAAAAATTAAAGAATTATTTTTAATCTATAAGATTAAATTTACATGTCTTGTTATACCCTTAAAAATTATATCAATAATTTAAATTATATCAACTTTGAGAAAAGATAATTTTGATAAATAAATAAATTATCCTATTTTAATCTTTGCACACATTAAATATAAGATAAGATGACATTATTTAATTTAATTATATTTATAATATTATATTATCATAATTTTGTGTATCAAACATAACCTATATATACATGTGTATGTATGGAAGCAACACAAATTACGATTAATAAAACATACACTCAATTTGATTAATTTAATCACCGACAGAGGAAATCATTCCCCACTTATAACTAACCAAAATTTAATTAAATCCTTTAATATAAGTTTAGAGACGATTAATTGTTTTGATTATCTAATTGCTTCAAGAAAACCACAGCAACGACAGCGGTGCACTTTATAGCTAACACATGCTTGCCCTTTATGAAATTTAATTATTATTCAAAGATTAAGTAATAATAATCACATAAGAAAAAATTTATTAAGAAGACATCCTTCTTAAATAATAAAAAATACTGCTTCTAAAATTTATTAATTGTTTTTAATGCAAGGGATATAAATAAATCTCCATCACTTTGATTAATTACTTGACTAACATTAATTTTTTAAGATATTTTTCCCTCAAACACCGATTTAAGCATGGAAAAGCAAATACCGAATCGACTTCCAACCTTTCTCTTGATATTTTACTTTGTCTTTTGGGTATTTATCCCGGATCTATTTTCCATTTTTTACACAAATAATTAAGCTTTTTAAGCAAAAAGAATGCTTCAGAAAAATCTACAAATAATTTAAATTGTACATGTAAAATAGTATACTTTAGGCATTTACATTGAATCTTTAATTGTTTGATTTTTTTATATAAAAATGTTAAAAAATAGGGGCTCTGAGATTTATTATAGATAATTATTATTCCCATATATAAAGTAATAATAATGAACATAGGATAAATATAACTGCAAAACAAAACCCAAAAAAACTTTTAGGGATAATTTCAGATAACTTTAGTTATAGATTTAGTAACAATTATGATGGCAATGGAAACAAAACATTGAAAAAAACTTAGGAAACGTCTAAAAACCCGCTACATTCATTCATTCGTTCATTTTTCTTGCATGACTGCTCATCTGCCATTGACAAATCTGTAGCACTTTCTAGCCACTCAAGGTACGGATATATTTGAGGAGTAGGTGAAGACTCGGACTTGTAATTTTGTCTCACTTTTACTGCTTCTCTATTTTTTATTTTTTTTTATCTATCTCTAGAAACAACTATAATAAACTTTTATAAATCCTTCTCAAATCTCGTGTAGATGCGATGCAGCCAATTATTAACTTCGGTTATTGCTTAATAATCGAAAATGAAGTCATTTGTCAGAGATTGATTTTATTATTGTTTTGATAGGAAAAGAAATTGAGATACGTAAAATGTTTAATCTTATAATAATTTAGATAAAATTTATCAGATTTGAGTTTAATTAAATAAGTTTTATCAATTAAACCATCCGTTTTTGACACATGTAAGATTCTTTATTCTTTATATTTGAACTCTGAAGTTAGCTATTGAACAATCAAAGTAATATTAACTTGGTAATTTGATTGAATCGGTAAATATCGAATATTTTATTTATAAATTTTAGTTTGATTTTCGTTATCATCAACCATTCTTAATAGATAATATGTAAGTTCAATATCAGTGTTTGTTAAAACTTACCGACTCTTAAAATGGAGTAATTTTCTCTCACCTAAATTTTTAAAAAAGATTTAATTGAAGACAAAAGCAAACAAAAAAAAAAAGTAAGTCGATGTAAGTCATTTAAAACCAATAAAATATTGTAGAGCACAAGTTGCCTTTAAAATCAAGATGTAAGTCGATATAGCACAAGATAAGGCGTATGAAACTAGAGATGCTGCTAAAAATTAAAGAAGAAGTGAAAAAGCAATTTGATGTTGTATTTTTGGAGGTGGTAAAATATCCTGAATGGGTAGCCAACATAATACCAATTCCTAATAATGATGGAAAAATGAGAATATGTGTCGATTATCGAGATCTGAATTGGGCAAGCCCTAAGGATAATTTTCCTCTACCTCACATCGATACTCTAGTAAATAATACTGCTAGGCATTCCATATTTTCCTTTGTGGATGGCTTCTCAAGCTATAATCAGATCAAGATAGCTCGAGATGATATGGAGAAAACTATATTTGTGACCATGTAGGGGACATCTGTTACAAAGTCATGCCTTTTGGGTTAAAAAATGTTGGTGTCACTTATCAAAGAGCAATGGTGACTCTCTTTCATAACATGATGCATAAAGAAATAAAGGTATATGGTGACTCTCTTTCATGACATGATGCATAAAGAAATAGAGGTATATGTGGATGATATGATTACGAAATCTCGTGAAAGAGAAGATCATGTAATCAATCTCAAAAAGCTATTTGACAAGTTGAAAAGATTTCAGCTAAAGTTGAATCCTGCTAAATGTACATCTGGTGCCAAATCAAGAAAACTATTGGGCTTTGTGGTTAGTGAAAAAGGAATCGAAATGGACCCAGATAAGGTACAAGCCATCCAAAACTTATCTCCTCTTCGTACCCTAAAAGAAGTGCGAGGTTTCCTAGGGAGATTGAACTATATTGCTCGTTTCATCTCTCAACTCACCTACAAGTGCGATCCTATTTTCAAGGTTTTTAGAAAACATCATCTAGGAGAATGGAATGATGAATGCCAAGAAGCGTTTGACAAAATCAAAGAATACATATCAAATCCACCCATATTGGTACCACCTGTTTCAAGAAAGCCTTTGATCTTATACTTAACGGTACATGAAAATTTCATAGGATGTGTGCTGGGGGCAAAGAGATGAAACTGACAAGAAAGAACGAGCAATATACTACTCGAGTAAAAACTTCACTGATTATGAGTCTAAGTATTCACCATTAGAGAAGATATGTTGTGCATTAGCCTGGATAACTCAAAAGCTTAGACAATATATGCTTTATCACACTACTTGGCTCATAGCAAAGCTGGATCATATTAAGTATATCTTCGAAAAACCCTCATTGACAGGAAGAATAGTACACTGGCAAGTTATGCTTTCAGAATATGATATCATTTATATGACTCAAAAAGCTATAAAATGAAGTGCCGTAGTCGAGTTTCTTGCTGATCTTGCTGTCAAAAATTATGAACCAATGAACCTAGAGTTCTTTGATGAAAATGTGATGGCGATTGAAGGAAATGAACCTGTTGAAGAGTCTTTGAGGATGTATTTTGATAGAGCTACTAATGCTTTAGGTCATGGCATTGGGATAATTTTAATATCTCTTAATGGGCACCATTATCCCATTACAGTCAGGTTAAATTTTAATTGCACAAATAATGTGACTGAGTATGAGGCCTGTGTTATTGGTCTGCAAGCAGCAATTGAAAAAAAATCAAAAGTATTAAATGTGTTTGAAGATTCAGCTCTAGTAATCTATCAATTGCGAATAGAATGGAAAACCAAAAATTTTAAGTTAATACGGTACCATAAATACATCTTTCAGTTGGTTAAACAATTCAAAAAAATTCAATTTGAGCATTTACCTAGAGAGAAAAACCAAATTGCTGATGCACTGGCTACTTTAGCTGCAATAATTAAAATAGATGTAAATACTAAAATCTAACCCATCAAGTTGGATGTGAAGGATGAACCAGCACATTGTTCAGGTGTTGAAGAAGAAGTTGATGGGAAACCATAGTAT